GCCCTCCCTTCCCGCTCGAGCGTTAAAAAGACCTGTTGGAGATGTTTGTTTTGTTCCGTTTTGTTTTGTTTTCAACTGCGGCTATTCCTGTTGCAAAAAGCCTGCCCCCCGGCCACCTCAGTGGCTCAGCTTTCCAGGCCGGAAAGCCCCTGAGTAACGCTTACCGAGCTAATTCCCGTATTATGCAGCAAAGTTGGCTAGCCTGTCTTAAAAGGAGCCGAGTTTGCGGGGAGGTGAGTGGCCGTGATTTGCATCCTGGTACCCGAAAGCCTGAGATACCTGACGGGTTTAACACGCGTAACGCTTCCCCGCCAAAACGTGCTTTGCCTCTTGGAGCCCTCCTGTGTCAAGTAGTTGAAATCTTGTTCCCCTGTGAAGCACTTCAAGCCTCTGCTGCATACGCCGCACGTAGGCTTCCTCACACGTGTGTCGTAGCAGATGCTTAAAAAATAAAACATTCTTGGGTATAAAAACATTCTTGGTATAAAAACATTCTTGGTATAAAAACATTCTTGGGGTCCACCCCGAGTGCCCAGAGACACCAGGTTGGAAGGATTGAGGTCCCTTGCTGCTGGCATTGAACCTGCAGAACCGCTGTATTCGCCTGGGGTGCCTCGGCTTGGCTTTTGTGGCTACAATTTGTTCGAGAAGAGTTCTTGCAGATTATGACAGGGGAAGTTTTTTGTCTGGTGACAAGCTGGGATTTGTTTTAGAAAATCTGCTTCAAATTTGCGAGTATTTTAACTGTGCTTTCTGCTGTATACCCAAAAAACTAGTGGGGCTTTGTGTGCATATATGTATATATGACTAAATACTGGCATTTCACGATATATCGTATAATGAAAATGGCTAAAATTATTTTAATTTTTTTTTACAGTTTCAACCTTTATGCATCTGCATATTAGTGTGGTTGTAAACCTACATCTATTTAACTTGAGTTTTCAATACTTGTAGTAGCTGCATGCATGCCTAGGAAGGAGATAAATGTTTAGTTTATCCTACTGCACGCCTCTAGTTCCTTTTTCTACGGTGTAAAAGACTTCAGTGCCTCACCCTAAGTTAATTCCATTCTCCTGTTGCGTAATTTTGAAGGTGAGAGCAGTATTTTGGGAGGGAGCAGAAGAACACTGGCTTCTTTTGGCCAAAGAAAGCATTAGAGAATGGAAAGGTGATCATCTGATTTCTAACTTTCTCCATGTTAGTGGGGAGGGCTCTAACTTCCAGTTTATTTTTTTTAGAGTAGAAAAATTAGGTTTTGCGCTATGGAATATTTATTCCATGTAAAATCCTTATCTCAGAAGTTAAAAATATTTAGGAGTAGAATATTCTATAGCTCTTTTAGGCTTTCTAGTTTTCTTCACAGATTTAGTGAGTTATGCGCTTGGATATTTGAAATGGTAGCTGCAGTGGTTCCTGTCAAACTGTCTAGAAGTCTGGTGGGTTCCCCTCTGCCCTTCTGTAACAGTGCTGTTTGCTGTAGGACTATTAGGTGTATTTTCTGAGTCTTCTCATTCTTTGGAAACTGCTTGAAACTTAGTGTGGCCTGGCTTCAGATGGAGATAATCTGAAATCTTGTATCTCTGTCAGGTTTACCTGGATTAACCTGAAAGACATAGGTTTACTCACCAAGATAATGTTGTGAGTGATTGCAGAATAACAACTAAATGTCACTGAAAACCATCATTAAATTTTTCCACTAAAGTTCTGATGGTTGATTCGATTGTGTTTTGTTTTGTTTTTTTTTTCTTAAAGCTAACAATTCTAAGTTTAATGGTGCTAACTGCTTGTAACATCAGAATGGGATGCTTTATTTCTGACTAGCTGTTAATATTGCATCAGAAACCTTAAGTCATATTTGTTTTCATGCACTTGTTACCTTATAACCTTTGTTCTGTCAAACTGTGTATTTAATTTCTGTAGAGATGCTCTCAGTACAGAAGGTGTGCAGTACCATATGAATGTTTGGAAAGTGTTTTGACATCCCTTTAAGTCAAGCCTTCTTTTTCATAATTTTATGAAAATACAAATATTTTGACTTGAGTTATAATGAAATGAGTCATTAAAGGGAACATGTTTCAAAAAGCTGCAGTTAAGCAAAGAAACAATAGCAGTCCTGAAAAGTAAAGCACAGAATCCCTAAGTGATGAACAGGCTTTTTTGTCTTTTTGTTGTTTTGTTCAAAGAGATTTTGACCCTTTTGAATTCATTGTAATCCGGTTTCTCTCTAAAAATATTGTGCTCAGTGATGACAGTGGGTGCAGAAATAACAGTTGCAGTTCTTCCAACAAGTCATAAAAGCAGCATTTCTCATGACTGTGATGAGTGGAATTATGGAGTCATTGTTGCAGTGAGTCCTGACAGCTCCCAAGAGTTGTTACTGGAGTAGCATAACTCTATTTTAGCACAAAGTTTTAATTTAAAATACTTTTTTGTCTTTGTGTGCGCTGTTTATACAGCTCAGTACCTGCCTTTTCCTGAAATAGTGTCTCGTATATCTATATACCATCGAGGTTAAATACATTGCAAATTTTGCATATCCTTGCCGTGCACTTAATCGTTCTAATTAAATACCGGTTTAAGGGATTTTAGGGTAACTTGCTTTTGAATTGTTCTTGAATTATAACTCTGGTTTAAATGGTGGATAACTGAACAGTAAAAACATTTTCAAGGACTAGGAGTGAAACCATCTAGCCTTGGCAGTTCATGAAATAATATAAAAGGTGTATATTTATTAGTTAAACATAACTTGTAGACTGATCTAAGCTTGGATAGTTTTCAGGGGGATATGAAGAGGGCAGAGGAGACTGGCCAAGTTGTTTCAGCCTTGAGATGATTCAAGGTGTCAGATTTAAAACCAGCTGATCTTGAGACTGATAGTTTGGAATTGCTCAAGAATTTGATTACTGCATTTTTTTTTAGATTGAGCTGCTCTTAATAACATCCCTGGCTTCCAATCACTTATTTAAGCTTTCTGAGTTATGAGAGTTCCCAGTCTTCTTACAGGAAACTAGGCTTTGAAAGAGTCTTACTGTTTAGTTTTTTTAAAAAAAAGCTGGGGGGGGGAAATGTTGCCAACAAGCATTAGATTGATTTTAATTTGTGAGCATTGTGTTAACCTGGATATTGGCTATTAACACTACTAAAGTGCTTCAGAATTTATAGTTTCCTTTGTGCAGAAGAAAAGTTCCAAAGCTTCCCTAGAGAGTCTCTGTAGTCCTAGAGAAAACTCTTTATGTTTCTCTAGGGATTGGTAGAGAATTACGTGTGCTATTGTCAGCCTGCGGGGGTAAAAATTTAGGAGGAACAGTTACTACATGTACTGTGGGTTTTTTGCCTAGCTCTATGAGGATTTATCCGACTGTTGTTGTTTCGTCTTTGCAGTATAGTTTAGATTAAGTAATTTCAACATTCCAGGGACACATCTAGGTTTTTGCAATAGCTTCAGAAGATGCCAGGTTTTGTAACTTGTGGTATTTTTTCTTGCCAGTTTATCCTTGTAAGCTGGAGGTGGCATAGTGCTGTTTGCTTGCATGTTGCTGCAGGGTCTTGTGCCAAGACCTGTCTGTCAATCCTGCCACCTCCTCTTCCCTCTTCTACTCTCTCTCCCAATTCATCCCTGACCTGTCGTCCCCAGCTTGGGGCCCGGCTGTGAGATGATGCTGGTGACGGGAGAGAGGAAGAAGGAGAGAATGAGACTGCAGCAGCCTGACTTAAGAAGCTGTAGGGTCTCATCCTGTCCTGGTTTGAGCTAAACAGAACCAATTCTGTTCAGTGATTTTACTTTTCAGCCAAGTCTCTTCTAAGAGATGACACTTCCTGAAGTTAACAGAGCGTTTTCTCAGAGAGTGTCTGCTACTAGAAGTGATAACACTTGATGTTTAGTTACTACCAGGAATCGATATGCAGAAAGACTCTTGCTTATACTTGCTCCTACAGTGAGGAAGATCACTGTGTGCCATGCAGGGGGATGCTCAAACCAGGACACATTTTTAGGATATAGTTTTATGTTGCACTAATTCCTGAAAGCAGGTAGTCCTGCACTCTTCCAGATCCTCCTGCCCACTTTCTTCTCCTCTCCTCTGCATCATGTCTAACCAGTTGTGTGGGGCCCAGTGTAGCTGGTTGAGCCTGTTGAATTGATAGAAACGTGGTGCGTTTTTTTCCTTTTGAAGTGTGTATGGCCAGAGCAATTGAAAACTTATCAGTGGATGGGAGGGGTAGTCCTTGTGGCAGCCTGCCATCATGTATGGTTAGACAGGGAATTCAGCCTATGCTTATTTCTGGCTGCTAACCAAAGTCAATATAGTAGAGAAGTTTATTCTACACTGAAAGAATGTTGTCTATATAGAGAATGCTTCTTAACTGGTAGCTCAGGAAAGGCATTAATAGTGCCAATATGTAAGAGAAATGAAATTTTTTTCTAGGCAGCAATTTTTTAATTGCATCAACATTTTAGGTCGTTATGGTTCTCTTAAATTGTTTAACCTCTGTTTCAAAAATAATTCTAATTTTAATAATACTTAAATTTTACTTAAAACATAAGTTACATTGAGCCAGGGAGGCAGCTTTGTCCTCTGAGAGAGGATGGGTGAGTGATGTGCATGAGTACAAGCCACAGTGAAATTCTAGGTGAAAGAGCCAACAGATACAGTGTGCGTTGCATTATACTGAGAAAAGCGTGGTGGGTGTGTGCTTTTTATTTGCTGGTTTTACAGTGAATTGCATCATCATGCTTTGTGTCACTACAGAAAGATGGGATTATCAGCAGGATTTGAATTAATAGAATGCTTATCACTATTCTGATAATCTTACTGTTTTGGTTTTTCTCTTCTCTGTTTTGCTGAAAAGTATGGGAGGCACAATACCGCCTGCTCCAGCCAGTGCCTCCACCGAGGAGACAAGTAAGGTGAGATATGAAGAATTTATCATTGAAAACTAACATTTGGACTCTCTGGGAAAGTTACTGAGCAGGAGGAGGGAAAACGTTGCTGTCAATTTTCCCTCAAAGACAGTGGGTGAGCATGCTGGGGTGTGACAGTTCAGTCTGAAGCCTGCCCATTGCGTGTTGTAGATGGCTTGTTACAGATGGCTTCCTAGTTTATTGCAAGTGTTATCATGCTCCATTTCCCTAATCCTGAATGCCTGATGTTCTGTGCAATGCAAATGCCAAAACGTCCTAATTTCTTTTTTCTTTTTATGTTTTCGCTGTCTGTTTATGCACCTCTTCTGTAGTCATTAGTGGATTAAATTATGATCTTGAATTATGATCTTTGCATGACAAGAAACCTTAGCAAGCATGGTAGATAATGAAGTAAGCAGTTGAACTATCAACTTCTTAGGGCAATATGGTGGAAAAGTTTTGGTTTTGTTGTTTTTTGCTCGTTTGTTTTTTAAGAGAGATAATAAATTTTTTATAGCAGAATTTTCCCAAGCTTGAAATACTTTTGGAAGAAGTAAAATTGTTTTGGGGGGGGGATTTAAAAGACAGCACATGCTGGAATTACTGGCTAGTTAGAACTGTATGGAGGGATTGGATGTGTGTAACAAGTATTGTCTGTGACGTTGAAGACAAGCTGCTTATGTCTGTGATCAAGTAGAACATTCTTTTTCCCATTTCAGAGGAAATTAGTAGCGCTGGTAAAAGTTGATAGGAAAACGTTTGGAAAAAACATTGTAAGTGCCTATAAAGGGCAAAGATCTCCGACCTTGGCAAATAAACCCAATGTTTTAATCATTGACACCAGCTTACTGTTCACTGTTAAAGGAATTGAGCTTAATAGTATTAGATTGAGAGAATTTTTGATCCAGAGAATGTCTGAGGGAAGGCAGGAAGATTGGAAGGGTTAGTTAGTGTTCATTGCAAAACTGGTTCTGAACTGGGTATTTTCCGGTTTATTTGGCTTTGATTATTGAATTACACAATTTGGGAGACAGGCTTTACCAATAATGGAAGTTACCAATAATGGGCTCTGAGTTATTTGCATGTGGGAGATTTGTATCTTTAAAAATAAAACATTTCAGCTGTGGAGCAGTCTGATGTTTTGAAGATTAATTTTGGATTTTCTGATGCATTGTTATTTGTTAAAGTAGGAATAGAATATCAGTCAGAAATAATGTATGCTTACATTTCTCTTTCAGGGCAAAACAGAGGAACAGCCAGAGGAGCCAGTTAAATCACCAGAACCAGAAAGTGAAGAGAGCGACTTAGGTGTGGAAAACAGATGACTTTATCGTGTTTCACCAATTCAAACATGGTTCTGGAAGTCCTCTCTGTCTGTAGGTAGAGCTTAATCTTGCTTTATGTTTTTCTCCCAGAAATTGACAATGAGGGAGTGATTGAGCCAGACAATGAAGAACCTCAGGAAATGGGAGATGAAAATGTGGAGGTAAGCGCAATATTTTTTTCAGTGTCTGTGGCAGTAGGAAAGATGGGGAGACATTTTGAGTTTAGTGAAAGATAGCAACTGTGGGGGTAGAAGTAATATATTAGCTAGGTAACCAGCTGTTGCTTCTGCTCATTTTCTCCTAGGTAGGAAACTTACTGGCTTAAAACCACAGTCTTTTCTTAATTCAGTATTAGAGGCTCTCAAAAAGTCCAGTGAAGGAAATCAGGTCAGAAAACACTAAAGAATTTATCAAAACACCCATGAGAAAAAGATAATATACCAATCTTCCATTATTCAACTTCTCCTTTGAGTGTTTTCTAGCTAAAAATAGTGGTGGGTAGTGTCTCCAAGCTGAAAGCAAAGGTATTTGTTTTGTTAGGTTGGGGGTTTTTGGGTTGGTTTTTTTTTTTTGAACTATGATTTTGATGCAAATTAGAAACAAGATTCTGGTATCAGAAAACTGGATGTCCCTTCTTTGATGTAATTCTGACCTGAACTCTACAGCTTTTGGGTTCTCTATATGTATTTATTTTCCTAGGTAACCGAAGAGATGGTGGATCAAGCTAATGAGAAGAAGATTGAAGCAATAAATGCTCTAAGTGAAGGTGATAAATTGTTTTTTAGTACATATTGAAGGACAGTAGATTTGGTTCTCTTTTTTAAAGGAAGTAAATACCTTGGACCATTTTGAGTGCTTTCAAGGGTGGTTATCCACTTTTTTTGGATAACCAAAAGTGTAGAACATGAAAGCTGCTTTAAGTACTGTCTTTCCAATGTAGCTACAGTTTTGGGCAGGGTGAGGAGGGGGAATTAGGTACGGCAATACCTTAATTACAAATTGATCATTATAATACTTCCCTTCATATTATGATTAGTGTCTCTGGTGGTTTGACTTAATGCCGTGAAAAGCTGTGTAATAAAGAGGTGACTTCCTATTTGATTGCATACAAAGTTAAATGTAGAAATTTAGCTGGGAAAAGTCTCTCCTCCCCTCCAGCATTAATTTTGTAGTTTGTACTTCAGTAACATAGTAAGAGGGAGAAATTGATTTTCCTTTGCTCATAGTGTTCCACTTAAGATGTGTTGAGGGACATAACACCCTGTAGGGCAGGTTGGGCCATGTGTATGTAATTTCATTGCACCGTGACTGAAACTTTACTGCTGCTCATGTTCAGGTGAACTTCAGAAGGCTGTTGACTTGTTCACAGATGCTATCAAGCTGAATCCTTGTTTGGCCATCTTGTATGCCAAGAGGGCAAGGTGAGTCAGTATTAACTAGTGAGTTATTTTTCTGTCCTGCTATTTTCCTTAAGGAGCCTAAATCCAGCAGCAGCTTGAGGATCTGTGTAAACTTAAACTTTATTACATGAGGGGAGGAGAAAAGTACGTCATGCATTTTCTCTTATATGCGATTAACCAGATTTGCTGAAGCAGCCCTGTGAAGAATCTTGAGATGAGAATAAGAAACAGAAAGATGTTCCAAATTGAATTGTGGTAATACGTCTTCTGGTACTGGGTAACAAATTAACAAACCCCTGTAAAATCTGAAATTTATTCTGGGATGATGATGATTGGAATCATGCCCTGTTTAGATGCAAAGTTAATTGTGGATCATGCAAATTCTCTCCCTCTTGTACCTGCTAAATGAATTGATCCACTGTGAATTTACTATTCAGCAGTCCTGTGTTGGAAAAGGACACACCTATTTCTCAACCCATTCAATACCCATCTTACTGCTAGTTACATCTGCCAGACCGCGGATAATGCATTGGGAACATTGTCAGATTTGATGTGTGGTAGCCCTAACTTCATAATTAATGTATTTATCTTCCTAATTCTTGAGGAAGGCTGAGAAAGTATGGATTGCCGTAGTTTCTACAGATTTTTTTTTTTTTTTTTTACACACACACACAAAAACAAACAAAAAACCACAAACCATGGAAGATTTGATAGTTGGGTGGATCTTTTCCATAGCAAGGTACAGCCCAAAGAAATGTCAACTTTTGATGACTTTCATGTGATTGGTGTCCTTTAACCGTTCCATTCTAGTACATCTGAATTAGTTCATGCCTTGCTGTTTTTTCCCTTCCACGTTAAAGCTTTTCCATGTAACACGGCTTGTTTACCTTAATACACTGTTGTTGGCATCATAGCAGTACTTTTCAAACCTCTTAAAACTGCCAGGACTGGGATTAGTTAAAAAAAAAACAACAAAAAACCAAAAAACCCAAACATCAGGGAAGGTTTCAAAGTTACTTCAGTTTGGTCTGCAGTAGTAATAAGCAAACAACATGTTAGGGTGTTCTAAAACCTGCAGTGTAACAGCAGGTTGTCCACTTAGTTATTTCTAGAAGAGAATGTGTGACTTCAGGGCTTGTTATATAAAGCAAGCACACTAATGACTGTAATTACAGGCACTCTAGTTGCTAATGAATTGTTTTCAATTAGATGTAAAAGGGTGGAAGTTCTGACTTGGAGTGTCTTTTATCAAAACACTTTTATTCAATTTAAGAATGTTTTTTATTTTTTCCTTTGGAGGAATTTGAGATGTCTGAATCTCCTGAAGTACTGCCCTACTAGATAGTTTTTTCTGCTTGTGCATTTTAAAATTTGCAGTTACTTAACTGACAAAGGATTGGGGCTACTTTCTGGATTTGTGTTTTGCCTCTTAATTTTGATGACTTGTCTCCTGTCTCCTTTTGTGGTTCCTGATGATTGTAGCTATTGTTCCTCGTAGCCTGTATGATAGCTTGTGCTTTCTTACTGTTTTAAAGACTCTGTAATGTTATTATTTTGTTCAGATTGCTAGTTGCCATTGGCTGTAGACTCCAAAAACCAGAGAACTGAACTGTCCTTTGCGTTCATGTGTGTTTCTCCTTGTACACTGAAGTTATTCTTGCTGCCAAGGCTTGAGACTGAACAATGAATGCTTTCTCTTCTTGCTAATGATTCACCTACAATGGTAGTGGTGAGAACTACATTTCAGTGACTTCATTATCGTTACCCACTCTTTTTGAACTCAGCTCATCAAATATATTATCTCACTAGCTTGCCTCTTAGTCATCTGCAATTATTTACAGCTTAAGTTAGTAACTTGGTATTTCAGTATGTACAACGTTCTTATTCCCACAGTGTTTTTGTGAAACTACAGAAGCCAAATGCTGCCATTAGAGATTGTGACAGAGCCATCAAGATTAATCCTGACTCGGCGCAGACCTATAAATGGAGGGGGAAAGCGCATAGGTAACAAACTACACCTGTATTTGATATTTTCACTTACTTGGGGCAAAAAGTTTTGTTTATGCATTCTCTCCTTCTCTGTGTCTTGTCTATCTTGCACCTGAGAGCATGAGACAAGAAACCATTGTGCTGAGCGTGTGTACGGCTTACAGGAAAGAAAGGGTGACAGTGATGGCAATTATGAGTAGTACTGACACTTTTTTTTTTTTTTTTGGAACATATTTTCTAATGGCTTACTGCTTTTCTGAATAACATTTTCTAATAATTCACTAAGTACTGAGTTCTAGGACTGTGGGTTTTATTTGTTTGGAAGTCTTTTGTTTTCACTTAGTTTGGTTTTTATTTACTAACCTGTGGTTCTTAAACATTGCTCTACTGCCCTTATATTCCATTAGATCCTAGAGTGTTTTACATAGTAAATTAAACTGCTTAGTTATATGGGGAACCATGCATTGCTGTTGAAGAGTAGTATCAAGCCAACAGTATAATTATTTGAGAAGGCATTCCACCAGAGTACATCCCCCTCTATGACAGTTAGACATTTATTTATTTTTAAAATGTCAGTAAATCAGCCAAGAAAAACATAAGATGACACTTCTTACGGTCTGCGTCAAAGTGGAAGGAGTAAATGCTAATAGAACTTAAATGAAAAAAGAAGGGACATTTTAAATAGTGTTCAGAGAGTAGTTTGTTAATGTCTACAGTTGTAACAAATGCCACGGAGCCTAAGAGTGAGAAGCTTAGGTTGAATTAACACATCTGTCTGTAAACATAAGTGTTTAAATTTTTGATTATCAAGAGTTTGTGTAAATGAGTAGTTAAGCTTGCATGGTAGCTCGTATGACATCTTCAACTAAGACATGGTGCGTCCAGTTAGCTGGGATGTTTGAGTGCTGAGTAGAGAGGGTCCGCTTAAGCTTGAGGTAGTAGTTCTGTGGATGTGTGCAGAACCCTGAATGTGTAGTTTTACACTGAAAATGCACCTCGTGGTGAAGACTATTTTTATTAGTGGGCTCCACTTGTTTAGGTAGGGTACCTTCTCCAAGTTAGACCCTTCTTGTTTGTAGCAAGCAAAGACACTAGCTGATTGAGGGATTTTTTTTCTCCATTGTTACTTAAGGCAATTGTTACCGCAAGGGTGCGAAGCAAGCGTCCTCTAATGGCATCAGGTTACAGAAAACACTGTGATTATTAAACCTCACGTTTCTTTAAGTCCATATAGCTGCATGGTTGTAGACATTTTTAAGAACTGTAAGAGTCGAATTTGCTTTTTCCTTCTGAATGTTGGTGTCTTCTGAATTGCAGACTTCTGGGTCACTGGGAGGAGGCTGCTCATGATCTTGCGTTAGCTTGTAAACTGGATTATGATGAAGATGCTAGTGCCATGCTGAAGGAGGTGCAGCCAAGAGTAAGTGGGGAGGCATAACGGAGGTCGCTCCTCTATCTGAGTGACGTTGCTGCCTTCATATTCTTCCAGTATGCATTATCTTGTGGGAATGTGTTCATGTGTCATCTGACACTTCAAACTGCGTTTATAAATACTTCTGTCTTCAATTGCAGCTGTTTATGGCTGTGTGGAGAGAAATTGAGTCTCTGGGGCTGCATATGTAACCAAACTATGAAATTCCACGTTCCTTTTTGAAATCTTAACAGATAGAACCTGAAGCAGTTCAAGTTTGCTGTGATTTGTACTTTCATTAGTCTTCCCTGTGAGGGCAGTGTAATGTCTGTACGATTGGTTTTCAGCTTTCCTTGTGTGATTGACCCCAGCATTTTTCTAAGGAAGAACTTTTGTGTAACAAATATAAGACTGTTGACAGCAGGCTTTCTTTTTCATCCATTTTGCATGTTCCTCTAAAATGATTGACAGAACACAGGTTGCAGCTGTTGCATTGCAGGGCTGGCCTCTTGCAAAAAAAGACATGGGCCTGCCCTTGTGTCAGATAGAGACAGTTCCAGTGGGCTCCAAAACAAACCCACTGCTGGCCAAAGCTGAGCCAGTCAGTGATGCTAGTGGTGCTTCTGTGAGGACATACTTAGGAAAGGATTAAAAATCTAGCCCAACAGCTGTGAGAGAGAAGGAAGTAAAGAAAAAACAGAGGAGAAGCAACCCTGCAGAAACCAAGATCAGTGAAGAGGGAAGGGGAGAAGGTATGCCAGGCATGGGAGCAGAGATTCCTCTGCAGCCCCTGGAGAAGACCGTGGTTAAGCAGGTTGTCACCCTTGAGCCCATGGAAGACCTCATGCAGAGAAAGTGAATGTGCCCTGAAGGAGGCTGCAGCCCATGGACAGTTCAGCCTGCGGCCTGCAGAGAGATATCCACGCAGAAACTGGTTTTCTGGTGGGAGCTGTGGGGCATGGGGGACCCATGCTGGAACAGTCTGTTGCTTAAGGACCATAGCCTGTCGGGAGGAGCCACACAGGAGCAGTTTGAAGGGCTGTATCCAGTGTGGGCATCCCATGCTGGAGCAGGAAAATGTACGAGGAGAAAGGAGTGGCAGAGGTGCGGTGTTATGGACTGACTACAACTCCCATCCCCCTGTGCCATCCAGGGTCGGAGGAGGAGGTGGAATAGTAGAGAGCAAAGGAGTGAAGTTGAGCTTTAGGAAGAAGGGGACTGGTGGGAAGGTGGATTTAGTTTTGTCTTTGTGTCTCATCATCCTACTCTATTTTTAATTGACAATAAATTAGTCTTCCCCATGTTGAGCCTGTTTTGCCCATGAGTGATCTCCCTGTCTTTACCTCAAGCCAGGTGCTTCTCTGGTTTATTTTCTGTCCCTGTCCTGTGGAGGAGGGAGTGAGAGAGTGGCATAGTGAGCATCTGGCAGCCACCCAAACTTAACCCAGCAAATGGATAAACATTCATGTGTCGTAGCTTCAGCTTTCAGTTTTCCTGCCCTGTCTTGTAGAAGATGCTGTCTCCAACAAAACAACAATGGAGAACCATCTTACAACCTATTTGTCTTCTGCATTGGAGATTACTGATCTGTGGTAAATGTAATTAGGTCTTGGGTCTCAACCTTTTTCATAAGAGGCATACTTACTGCTTGACTGAGGGAGATCTTTTTATTTCCCAGTTAATCTGCCCATGCACAGTAACAGCAGAGTGTGTCTATGGTACAATGATGTGTAGTGGCCAACTGTATGGGAATTTGTGTATGTAGCTCAAGGAAAAATGTGTGATCTTCTCAAGGGTGAGTTTTTTGTTTTTAATGTTTAATAAGTGAAGATATGTTCACCTAATTTATTCACTTTCAGCTTTTCTAACACTTTTTGTTTTGTAGCACTTAGAGCTGAAAGCCTGAGTCAAATTCTAAAAAGGCTTAGTTCATCTTGACAAACACTTAGAAACAATGAAAACTGAAACTTCAGAAAGCTCTGTATGTTTTATTAAAAAAACCCCAACACCATAAACCACTTACTTTTGCCTGAATGAACTACTGAATGGCCATAATACCAGATTCTGATAACATGTACTGCATTAAATATCAGACACTCTTGCTGCCTTCAGTGTGTGTTTCTGGCAAATGTACTTCAAGAATGATGTGGTATGGAATGAATATCTCTTGGCTAAAATAAGTTGTATCAAAACTTCACTACTTACAAAATCATTTCATCGTTTTAAGAGTATTGTGAAGTAATAGAAGAGTATTCATTGTAGTGGTAACTACTATCTCTGTTCTTGGAACCTTGGTTTTGCTAGGTTTTTTAGTTACAGGAGTGTTGTATCATGCACAGTTTGTGAAATCATGAACTTTTTCTTTTGCATTGCTGTATAAGGATACATCCTGGTTTCAGGAAAGCAGAGATACAATTAGTGTTCTATTGTTATAATGAGCCTGAGTGAGGAGCCTTGGGAAGTTCATTGTGAACCACGCTCTTCTGCTGGGATGTGGGATGTAGATTTTTGGTAGACTTGAAAAAAATCTACTAACAGGAAGCAAACTTTTTCCCCCACAAGCCCTTTCTTGCTTTGATTCAGGAATTCTTTGGTCTGTTTATGTCTGGCTGTATATGCTGCAAAGGCATCTGTAACAGCAATAACACTGTCTAAAAAGTGTGTGTGTGTGTGCACAGGGTGCATTATAGTTCCTGTTGTGATGCTAAAAATTCCCTTTTCCAGGGCAGTTGCTGGTTTTAGCCCTGAATAAATTAATATTTCAGTATAAAAGCACAAATGATGATGTGGAAAGATAACGTGTTTGAGTTCCAGCTATGTTGCAAGTCCTACTAAAGCTCTACAGCAAAAAAGTATATGAGAGTGCATGTTTGGTGAATCCAGTTAGGGCCAAGTAGACATCAATAAATGATTGCCATAGGAAGTAGCAAATGGCTTCTAATACAAAGGGGCTTTTAGGATGTGAAGTCAGATTGTATTTTTAAGAACTGGTAAAAGCTAGTGATTACATGTGTTCTATATTGAAATGTATTTTGTGATAAGCTAGAAATGTATACGGAATCTTGGTATACTGTTGTAACAGGCTCAGAAGATTGCAGAACATCGCCGAAAATACGAGCGGAAGCGTGAAGAAAAGGAAATCAAGGAGAGAATGGAAAGAGTGTTTTTTTTTAGCATGAGAGAGCACAAAGGGTGAATACTACTAGGCTTTAATGTTTCTTAGCAATTTGGAGAGTCTCAGTTATTTTGGTTAAAATGAATTGCAGTGAAGAATTGCTTTCATTTTAAGTTTTGGAATTTTGTTTTAGAGAGGCGATCTCTGTCTTGGTTACTTGACCAATAATCCAGTCTGGAGAAGGCAGTATTGTACTGCATCTGCTTTTACTGCTTATGACAAAAGCAGGTTCTGGAATCTCTAATAATGCTCTTATTTCAAGAAGCCAGTTCTTGTATGACTACCAGAATAGCTTTCACTTAAAGTATTTATGTCTTCTAAAGTGGGAGGTTTTAAATTCAGGATAATACTTTGCTTCTCTTCCTCACTTCCTGACACAGTTTGCTTGCTTTTTGTTCGTGCTTTACTGGTTATCCCCCCCCAACATATTAAAATATTAGTTCTAGAAAGGTAAGTCAAAGACCTAAAAGAAATAAATAATACAGTGAATATTCAGCAAAAGCATACTCTGTATACCTGCCAAAACATATTGAAGTGAAAGTAGACATCAGTGTTTCTTGTCAGTGGTTTTACATGTTTTTGTTTATTGCGATAGCCTACCTGCCTGAAACAGTCTCAGCTATTTTTTTTCCCTCCTACAACCAGTTGAGGAGTAGAAAACAGGCTGCAGTTCCATTGCTTTGTGTGGAATGATGTGCTTTCATCTGCAGGAGGAAGAAGCAAGACGACAGGCAGGAGGAGCTCAGTTTGGTGGTTTCCCAGGTGGATTCCCAGGTATTTTGTTTATAAGCACCAGAGGCAGAGGCACTGTTTCTATGTGAAGTATTATAACCACAGATTTTATCGCATTTGTTCTCAAAACAGAGACAAAAATACTTTATGAAGTTTAGTACTTGTCTACAAATAACTCTTTGAGCACGTGAGAAAAGGGAATGGCGTTCTTCCTCTTAGAGGGAATATAGAAATTGATAATGATGGATAACAATAAAAGGATTTAGGTCTGAGAAAACAAAGGTGCAGTATTTGCTTAATAATATGTGCTGAAAAACTAATATAAAACTGTTTTCTTAATTACCCAGGGTGCCTTGGACCCATTCTGTTTAAGAACAATAGTTTTGAAGATGAAAATTTGGATTGAATATTGGGAAAATCTGTGCTAGTTGCAAGCTGTGGTTGAACAGAACAGTTTCTTAAAGGAGGTAGTTACAGAAAAGCTGTCATCGAACAGTTCCCTGGACATAGGACTTTCCATGTTATTTTGAATACAACAAATTTGTCAGAAATAAGAATAAGTGATAATGGTCTTGAAGACTGAGATGTAGGTGAGGTAGGTTATGTGCAGGCTCCAACCAGCTCAGCTTGTCAGGGGAACCAAATAAAGACCATGTCTACCCTGCTCAGCACAGCTGGGCTAGCTGCTGATTAAGAATTAAAAAACAGAACCTCAAGCATTTTGCTTCAGGGTGGGTTTTTTATTTTTTTGGTGGTGTAATCTTTTTCAGACCATAAGTTCTAGTGGAATGTACCTGAACATTCTACTGCAGATCTGCTTTTGCCCTGAATTACTCACTCCAGGCACTCAAACTCCTCATGTTCCTGGACTTGAGATGTACCTGATTTAAGTTAACCAGAAAAATAAGTGCATCGAAGGTGCTAGATGCTCACACTCATTACAAGCCTCCTAATCAATTGGGTTAAAAACATGAATGAAACAAGAAAGATGTAGGTCTTTCCAGAAAGAAAAGGTGAAGAACCTGCTTTCCATTCGGTGGATCAGCTGTTGCCTTGTAAAAGACAGTGACTTTAGAGGTGTGACAAAGGAAGTATATCTTGGTCTCTCTCTTCACCATGACTCCTGTACACATCATTCTTCTTGATTTGGATTTTCAGGTGGGTTTCCTGGGGCTATGCCTGGAGGTATGCCGGGAATGGCAGGTATGCCAGGTCTGAATGAGATTCTCAGTGATCCAGAAGTCCTTGCAGCCATGCAGGTGAGTATTTGTTAAAATCAAAGCTAAACACTCTGAACAGCGCTTGTGAACTATGGGAAAGAAAAAAGATGTGACCTTCTGGATAGCAGTGGGATGCTTACTTATTTCTGTTGCGAAATTCTCTCCATGTGTGTGTGGCACCAGACTGTCTGGAGTCAGTGTTAGCTATTATTCAAACCGATGGGAGCTTAATTAAAGATTGCCCCTGCTCCTTTCCTGGGCCCCAAACTTGCCCATGATAGGCAAAGCTATGTGCTATATAGAGTTATTCATCTCTTTAGAGTGTCTTGAATGGTTGTTTTCCATATGGTATAAATCACTTGCTCCTTTTTTGAATGTATACACATTGTGGCGAGATAATTACACACAGACAAACCTAATGGTTAATACTGTTGCAACACAAAATATTACAATAATACTGGGATAAGAATTGCCTTTCTCTTGGGGGATTAAGTGTTTGGGTTTTGCCAAAGGCAAAATAGTATCAGAATAGTCTGCATCTGGCATTTTCTAAGTTCATGTTCAGAAAGCTTACTTCCCCAGTGGACATAATTAATTGCTCAACTAATTAATTGCACAGTGTCATGACTACTTTTACACCACAAAAGTATTCCAGTAAATTAAACAGAACATACCTGACAGCATCAGTTTTAGGGCCAGGTGGACTAGGAAGAATCTGAGTTCCACAGTTAGATTTGCATACTAATATGATCAAGTAAAGTGTCTTGTTACTTCTTCTGGATTGCTGTGGTTAAATTAAAGTTATGCATTATTCTTGTCTCATTGAACAGCTATGACCCCATCTAAATAAAAGCATCGTAAGGGACCCTTATTTGGTATGCCCTGAAATCACAAAAAAGGCATCACTTTTCCACACAGAAGTTCACAGCTTCCCTTAATGGTTGCTGGTGTTTGGAAATGCACGTTTCCTTAGGCTACCACAGCCAGCAGTGTTGACTTGCATGCAAACCACCCAAGAAAGTCCATGCCTTGTAGTTGTATGCGTTATCTGGCTAATTTATGCTGTAATATAGGAGTTTGAAATTAGAGTTGCTGAAAGCGGAGTTTTGAGGTCTGGCTAAATATTAAGCACTTGCCATATGCCTTTAAGAAGATTCTGTTGCATCCTGATCATATATACTCCAGCATAGTGTAGGACTCTTGTGAAGAACAGTATTTTCTCATAGTGCAAGCAGGCTTTAACACGTAGAACCTGTCAGCAAAGCCTTGAGGCTCTTGCTGACCTCTTTGTACAAATTTCATATTTAGTTCTGATTTGTTCAGCATTTTATCTATGTCTGTACTGCCACCTTTTCCTAAAATGTGCAAGTGACTACATTCTGGTCCTCTCTGAAGTGACAGTATAAGCTGGGTTAGAATCACAGAATTGTCAGGGTTGGAAGGGACCTTAAAGCTCATCTAGTTCCAACCCCGCCGCCATGGGCAGGGACATCCGCCACTAGACCAGGTTGCCCAGAGTCCCATCCAGCCTGGCCTTAAAAACTTCCAGGGATGGGGCTTCCACCACCTCTCTGGGCAACCTGTGCCAGTGTCTCACCACCCTCATGGGGAAGAACTTCTTCTTAACGTCCAATCTGAACTGATCCATCTCTAGCTTTAATCTGTTCCCTGTAGTCCTGTCACTACCCACCATCCTAAAAAGCCACTCACCAGCTTTCTTGTAGCCCCCTTGAGATACTGGAAGGCCACAATAAGGTCTCCTCGGAGCCGCCTTTTCTCCAGACTGAACAACCCCAACTCCCTCAGTCTGTCTCCACAGTAGTTCCTACTACTAGCTTTCCGCTCTGCAGGTGCAGAATATATTGGTGGATAATGGGAGCTGTCAGCTTTTACAAAAGTTATCTGAGGCATTACGAAAAAGTCTGAAGATACTGAATCACACAAGTCTCTGCAAATCACTAATCTTAAGATACTATTTTAATAGGCAGCAGAGAGAGGCTTTTTGTAGTGAGGAGTTACTGCTGGAACTGGAGTATTCTGCGAGTAAAGGCCTTCTTTTTCAATCTCTTTAGACTTAGTGGCTATCAATTTTTAAGACTGTTCTCCATGAGCTAACATTGAAAAATACCTGAGCCTGTTAACATCTAAGTAAACCTTACAACTGTTTGTGCCTGAACATGAGCTAGATTAAGCTGGTTACGCTGTCAACTTCAGCTCGTCATCTGTAGAAGCAAAGAACCAGGTATGGCTGCCTATGGACATGTTTAGAGAAGTTACTGGTTGTCATTGGCATAAAGATAGGAATCTCTGCAAACTAGTATAAAATTTTCTTTCTTGATGAAGATTTCCAGGTCCATTACCTGAAAATTTATTGCCTTCAGGATATTTTATCTTATTTTTCTCAATTGTGGCTGATAATAGGCTTCTACACACAAAAGTTGCAAAACTTGTGTTGCATTTCATTCATAGCTTCTTATTGGTAGTAGTTGTGGCCTTTTGCAATGACTTCTAATGCGTGTTATTTTAGCTCTTTTGCCCCTGAGCTTTTTAGTCTCCAGAAGAATTGACTGAAATTTTTGTGCGTGTTTCTCTTATTTTACTGTTTTGGCTGTCTGGAGGGTTCTGTAGTACTTGCTAGCTTGCATGTGCAATTGCTTTCTCTGGTCGCAATGTGACATTTCTGTTTTGGAGAGCTGTTGTGGATCAAATACAAGTTCTTTCGAAAGGTGAGATGTGTAAGAAGAACCTATGGATGCCCTGTTTGACATGTAGTCATGTTAGACCCAGAGTTCCACCAAAATGTGTAAATTGCCAAAAAAGAATAGTGATAACTTTTTCCTTAGAAGTATTTTTCATCTTCCTGCAACTAAAGACCAGAGCATTAGAAAATGGAATGTTTCATTAATGCAGTTTATACAGTGATCCAATTCAACCTCATATATTAAATATGTTCGTATGGAAATGTTGATACGCTCAGTCTTAAACTTTATTCTGATAATATTGGCCATCAGTGTGGAACCTTGGATGTCTTCAACATTTTTATAAACACAGTCTAAGGTTGAGGGCTTTTGGAGGGAGCACAAGTGCAGAGTAATTTATTTGATATGAATTTATAGGACCATAATACAGGTTGCATAAAATTGGATATTTAACATTCATTTAGGTGTGCTTTAACACAAACCAGTGACTAAGCTTACTCAGCTTTTTGTTCCAGATTCATATACAGGTGAAAACACAAATGTAACAACATGATGCAATCTTTATGGTCACATGCCCTATTTTGAAATCAGAAGTTAAAGAAGTCTGAGGTTGTGAAAATCTTTTTTTGCTTTCAGTAGGAATCCTGTAAAGTGGAGAAGATCAGTCTAGTGTCTGTTTTCTCAACTTCAGCATCCTATTTTTCATAGACTTTGCAGGTTCTCTTTTGTGAGGGAGACAAAACACTCGTAAATCCTTCTAACAAAAGTGAGACCTGACTCTTGATTCCCAATGTATATAAAAATGACTGAACCACGTGGGTAGTGTTACCAAATGCAATTTTGGATCCGACTTGTTAAACCGCTTTTGCCTGATGCTAGCATAGATACAGGATGGTGTTATTGTAACACAGACAGCTCTGAGGATACCAGCTGGTTTTTGATGGTTTCCAGTGTTTACATCTATGGTAGCAATGGGCTAGAAGTCTAGGGAAGGTTGTATTTTTCAGTGAAGCTACTCAAGTGTGCTAGAAAGAACAGCGGGTGGAACTACAGCTAATGGAGAGGACATCATAAACTGCTTGCACTTGAGCTGAATTAAAGAGAACTTGAATCTTTGCAAAGTTGCTTATAATGGAAACATTTTTTCCAGGCTGAGATGTAAAATTGGTCTATATAGATTTATTGAAGGACACCACTGTTCAAAATATAGGTGAAATGAGTAGAACCAGTTCTAGTTCAATGGAAGCCAAAGGTCCATTAGATATACAGGGTGGGGGAAGAATTAATGCTTCTCATATTAAGTAGAAAAGATTAAGGTTTTCTTTTGACCACTGACTTCAATGTATATGTGAATGTATTTATGAACTGCAACACAGTAGTGTGATGACAGATAACAAAGTTCTCTTCCAAGTGTGATTTCTCAGAGGAGGTGGGGAATGACTGAGAATTAGAAGCATTTTTTTAAAAGCTCAACATTGCCATGTCATCTACTCACAGTCCAGCAGATTCAAGTTTCTGCTGCTAGAAGGAAAAAGGATGAAAGGGATGAGCAGCAGCTGTTGCTCAGAGGATTATCCTATCACACGTGCTGCAGACACACATCTCCTGCCTCTGTCAAAATGCATTTGAAGGTGCCTGAATACAAATAATCCAGTAGATAGAGCTGTGCTTTGGTAGCTTCTGTTTTGGGGAAAAAGAACTCTTACCTTATCCACCTTCTCACACATGGAGCTGTTACTGTAACAGGTTCAGTAATGACTCTTGTGTTTACTGATGCTGCGTTTAACAACATGCACTGTATCATAGGTGGAGACCTCTTGCTCAGGACTCTAATCTAGTCTTGTCATGTTAAAAGCTCAACAAAACTAGATTCGCTTCAGAACCACATAACCACTTTTGTAGACTTGTTTATTATAAATGCCCTCATGTTTTGCTTTTTGTCCTGCAGGATCCAGAAGTTATGGCTGCATTCCAAGATGTTGCCCAGAACCCAGCAAATATGTCCAAGTACCAGAACAATCCCAAGGTCATGAATCTCATCAGTAAATTGTCTGCCAAATTTGGCAGTAAACCATAAAATCCCTGGTTCTTAAAAATCATATCTGAATGGGAAGGATTGGATTTGGCTAACCAGTGTTGCAATAAAACAAAACCATTGTACCTCTGATCTTCTTAAGAAGAGAAATGGGGTGTTGGAAGGAGAGCTGCTCTCTAGCCCCAAGTGTTGACTTTATTCAGTGATTGGTTTATAGCATTCAAATTATATTCAGATGACATAGTTTCAACTATCCCTCCTTGTCCTAGAGTTGCAACCTTTTATTATAAGTATTATAGACACTTTCTTCTGAATGAACACTCCTGTAAGAAATTCTCATATTCCAGGAGTGTTAAGATAAAAACCTGCTGTTGTGTTGTTTTGGATTTCTTTTTTTTTTAATTACTCTCAGTGAGCAAAGAGAAGTAACTTTAACAGTTGAAGTCTATTTTAATCCCCTTAGGACAGAAAAGTTGGCCTAGTCACATATAGCATAGGTGGGACAAGTCTGAAGAACTAACTGGATAAAGGAATTGTCTGCAAATACAAGTCCTTTAAAAAAATATATGGGTGACTGACTTTATATAGCTATTAAAATACGAGTATAAACCATGCTAGCTAATTACACACTGGAACTTCTGGCAGTACTGCAAATAATGTAATATTTTGATCACCGTAACTGTGCAGCAAAGGTACAGTCCTATCATTTGCACAAGCTGGCATGAAGTACGTACTGCAGAGGCCACAGAAGTTTTGTTACTTGCTCAGTTCTTGTCCAGCACCTTTCAGTAACATTTTATTTATCAGTCTGGGTCTGGGAGAGCAGCTGACTGTCTGTGCTTGTGCTCTTGTCCTTGCCCAGTTGGCAGGTCCTCCGCTGGTTGCACTCGCCCTTCCTTGGGGCCATGCTCACCAGGTTTCATCTATTTGGAAACTTTTTAGGGAAGGAATCTTGTTCCCATCACTACCTCTGTCCCGCTGAATGCAAGCCATCCAGAACATGTAAATACAGAGTTAGAAATCAGTGAAGGGGAGAATAGAATTGCAGCTCTGGGTTCTCAGTCGGTTTGAGTCCTTACGTGCTTGCTGATTAAAAAGTTCTTGGCCAAAGTCCTGCTGTCTCTTTAGAGGTGATGACTCTTCCTTCACCGCCTACTGTAGTCTTCCATCTTTTCTTGTATCCTTTTCTTTAAAAAACAACCACAAACCCCACAAAAACTAAAAAAGCTGTTGTCACGGTTTCATACTTCCACGTTTTTGAGGCTTGTGGTATGGAGGAAAAGGTGAAGTAATTGGAGCAGACAGAACATTCTTCTAATGCATGTGGATTACCAGCACAGGTGTCCTTGAAGCAGTGTCTCTGCTGATGATGTTCAGTTGATTTGTCTACCAATACAGGCAGTTGTTGCTTCTGTTTATCTTAGCTAAAACATTATTGTTCTGTGGAAAAATTACCATAGTTACCTGTTCACCATTTGAGTCTCAACATTTGTGTTACTCTTGTAATTCTGTATCTTAAGCCATAACTGATGTTACCATTTTAAAATCTGGATTGGTGTAGGAACTCAAAAACAGTTGCAAAAAATAAATTCCCAAATGCTTTTTCTCACACTAATGACCCTGCAGAATGAAATGTGAATCTTTTTGCTTAAGAATATAGTTCTGAATACTTCTCTTAGCCTTTAAAAATAAAGTATGGTTTTGAAAAATAAAACTTCTGGGGTTTGTGTAATTTTCTGATACAAAAGAAATTTGCTTAAATTAAATACAGAAGTGCTTCAGTTGAACTGTATATATAACTTGAGGTTTAATTTGGAACTAAATGCTTAAGGGCTTGTCTTCATGACCAAGTGAACCCACGTTATGATGGAGTGTTGCTGTGTGGATGGCTTTTGGTCATACCCTTGATCTGCTCCCAGGAGGAGATACTTGAAGTAGGTCACCCATCAGTATAGGCTGAAACTCAACTTCTTCATTCAGGCTGGTGCATATATGCTGTGCATGAATTAAGAGTATTTTGAATATAGATTTATTCCCTACAGTTTCTTATTACTCTCTCTTGGCTGCTTGTGTCTGTCTACTCATGCTTAGTCAAAAGTAGGATGTTACCCCTAGCCAGCAGAAATGGTCATATCTGTCCTGCTTGCTTGCTTACACATCAGTTGACCTTATTCAGAGCTGACCGATTCAAGAAAAATATTCTCCCTAATTTTGCTGTTAGCATTAGCAACAGACGAATTCTCGTTCTTTAGGAATGCGCATCCCATGACTCCTTCGGTGTGTGGAGTTTTCTGGTTTTATTGTTACCTAATGAGTTAATTGAGGAGGTATCTGGACCTCATCTCAGTTCCCCACATTGGCATGTGGACATCTAAACAGCTAAACTGGTTTGAACAGAAGTGCAAGTGCGGAAAGTTAACTGCATGGGAGACGAGCAAAGATGCTAAGTTCTAAATATGCAGCTGTATGAGGGAGTTGTTATTTTTTGTGCTTGCTCCAGTATTTACTGGCAGCTCCTTCGGGTTATTTGCTTCCACTGCAGCACAGAGTAGGAGTGGTTCTTACCAGTACAGGGGCAGTAGTCAACTCGGCCGATCCTTTGACTTTAGAAGCTGCTGGGGTGTATGAAGGGCTCAGCACAGGGTGGTGTCAGAGGTGCTCACCCAGCTTCACGTGCACATTTCTGCCACTGGAAGCAAGTCCCATACTGCGCTGTTTGGCCAAGCCAGTGCCACAGGTTAGGTGGTTGGACTAGATGGTCTTCAGAGGTCCCTTCCAACCCCTACTGGTCTGTGATTCTGCGACCCGGTCTGCTGGAGGGTATGATGACACGCCTGCAGCTGACTGCTGGTAGAGGGTCACAGCCTTGTTACTGCATGTGCATGTGTGTTGAGTCTGAGCGATTTGTCTGTCCTGTGTGGGTCAACTGCGGCCCCAAGGGAAACTAAGTGTCAGCTCAGATGCCGCTTCCAGATTATACTACTTCATGGTCAGCCCTGTTGCATGGTAATGTGGAGAATGCAAGACTTGCTGCCTTTACCAGAATTTATTTTTAAATTAAATTTTAAAAATTTCTCTTGCTTCAGTGTTGGGCTATGAATAAAAGCTATGTGTCGAAGTGGCTTGGTTTTTCTGTTGGAAGGCAATGACCAGATGGGCAGGAGTTGGACTGCCTCTGAGTTGGATGAAGGCAGGTGGGACAAGACTGGGCAGAGAAGTGATAGGCCAGAAGCAGAACTAGTCAATAAATTAGTGTTAAAAGGCCAGGTAAAGGTAAAATGATGTCGTAGAAACAGCTTGTTTCAAGTGGCCAGCAGTAGTATCTGTAATTCAGAATATCTAACTTTAAACATCACTCTGTTTTTCTTGTTTGTTACCTTCAGGGCCTTTGTGCAGAGTACAAACCACACTCTTGCATATTCCTGTAACCCTCTTCAGTGAAATGCAAGAGTAAACAATATTAGCGGAGTTTGCAGGAACTACTGTCCGAGCAGAATTCTTCACCCAAGGCGATGGGAGGTTGTGGAGCTAGCCAGGGTGAGCTGGAGCCAGGTCAGCTTCGGCTTGCACCTTCCTGTGGGCTGTGGCAGGCTCCTGACTGGAAGTGTTTGGAGCTCCCTTGAAATCCCACAGGGCATCTAGTCTGAGGAATACTGCAGCGCTTTCAGTGTTGTAGGGCAAGCGGGTTGTTGCAATAGCAGTAGGGGCTGGAGGGGTGTTTCTTTGGCTGCAGGGTAGTCTGATAGCAGCTGGTGTTGGTACAGAAGTGGACTGGCATCCTCAAGCCGGAGGGTGATCCACTAGGAAAATAGTGGCAACATTTCCTCCAGATGTCTAGAGAACGGTGTCTCATGAACCTTATTCAGACCTTTGCAGAGGGGGGCCTGAAGCTTATTTCATACACGATGAAGTGAGGGTAGCATTGTAGAAAAGAAACGCTGGATCACCAAAGAACTGAAACGAAGTGAAAAAATGGCAGCAGAGACCACTATGTTGAGTACTACTGGACAAGTCAGGGAGTCAGTAGTGTGATACAGGTAAATGCAAATACAGAGAAAACAGGGACAGTTTCAATGTGACAAAGAAATGAAGCAGGTCGGGGGGTGGCTGGTGGATCTATGCTATGGAGCAACAAAAAAATTCAAGTGGCTTTGTTTGAGCTACAAGTCATTGATCACCCTGTGACTCAGAGCTTCGGTAAGTTATGTTCTCCTGGTGTGGTCCTCAAACAGAAACTTTACATGAGACAAACCTTCCTTCACCCCCACTGACTGGAGTTCCTACTGAATTTAAATATCAAGGGCTTTTCTGTAAATCTGAATCTTGATGACTAACCAAGATGTTAACTTGTAATCTGGCTAAGAAAGTGTTAATGCTGTGCTTGTCCTTCATGTACAAATATGCTTTTGAAATGTATATTTTAGATGGATGGTCTCGGACAAGATTGAGATCGTGTCAATAAATAAATGTGTTTGCAGAATGTGTTATGACTCTCTGTTCAGTAAGTGGGTAACAAATTTTGGTACCTTTGTTGTTACATATGTTTACTAAACCCAGGATTTTTTTCATGTACAAACATTTCAGTGGCTACAAGGAATACAACTTGCTACTGCGTGTAGAGAAATGTGAAAGGTTACAGGATTGGGGCTGGCATTTTATCTTGGAGTTTCTTTGAAGTACAGGAGCTGAAATAGTCAGATGATAACCATCATTTGTATAGAATAAAGGTATTAGAAAGACAAGGTACTTATTACTTTGAAGTATTGTGAAGAACCGTGAGGTAAATAACAAGGAAGTGAGGTCTAAGTTAGTTACTAGTAAAGGGAATTCCTTTAGTTTCCTAAATCTAATGTTCTCACTCTGGGGGATGAAAAGTTTCTAGAAACAAAGTAGGTTGCATTTTGCATTTCAGAAAGAAAAGCAGCGTAGCAGAAAAGCATAGCAGTCACCTAACAACCAAGGCAGTGCTTAATAAAATTACCTTTCACAGTAGGCTGAAGGCACAAGTTACTGGGCAGTCGTCAGAATCAGATGGAAAAATATCAAGGTATCATACTGAGAAGGAGGTGACTGAGCTGCTGCCAGCTGTGCTGCCTCTCAGAGAAAACTCATGCTGAAGCTCAGCAACTAGTGTCTAGCTCTCATCTGGAAAAAAAAAGCATGAAGTACCACCTGTGCTTTCTTGTTTCAGATAACAATCTAAAAAATGGCTTACTGCCAACAATTTGTAAGGAAGAATGAACACAACTGTTCTAAAAGAAGGTTTGCTCTAGATTTTTAGATAATGACACCCAGGAAGGCCGTGCTGCCATCCAACGAGATC